AGTTCGCTCAACCATCGACGATAGTACTTTTCGGCCAAATCGAATTTTCCCATGTTTCTTAACACATCACCAAGAGAGAGAAGATTCGTTTCCTCTCTGTCGTATTCGTTCTTCATGTGATGATCATACAGTTGTTTGAGATCATTGTCATCATCATCACTACATAATGTCATTCGAATGATTATTGTTGACATTGTTCCATCAACTGATAATGATGATGATTGATTATGAGAAATAATCTCATTCAATCGAAATATAGAACCAAGCATAAATAATACTTCTGATTCTTCTCCATAATAACTTAGTTCATCAATTTGTGCAAATGGTCGGCGATTTTTCCCATTCTTCATCGTACCAACTACACTAGGATCAGCTTCAATTTCAAAAATAACAACTACATAATCACCCGATGCACATAAATGCATATTTTTTTGAACAAATCTTTCGGCTATTCTACGATTTAATGATGTCGATAAAAATGAATTCAATGAAATTATTGATCCACATGATTTTTCTAACTTTTTATATTCCATTATCGATAAAATTTGACCACGATATACAATGACACGCTTTTGACATTGATGAACAACCAATTGTTCGTATATATCTCGAATAACAGTTCGAAATAGAAAAATTAATTCCGTGTTTCGTACACGCAATGCCTTATTCATCAGGCGATACAAAAATGACTCACGTGTATACCACCATATTGCTTTGTGCGATTCATATGCCATATGAAATTCATTCACTAATTTCAATTCATTCTCATTACGAACAATTCACTAAGTATATTCTTTTATATCTCGACGACATTCATTTAAACACATGTTGTTTTTAGTCATAGTTAACTAAACAAATAATCCATTAAAAAAATTCCACTCAAAAGTATATAAACATTTCAGCCAACATCTATAGAGAAAAAAGAAAACATTCCCAACAATATAAAAAAAAAAACAATTATCACATGCATCCCCTCATCTCATACCATACCATCATTCACAGATATTTTTGAACTTCGTTTCGTTTCGTTTCGTTTCGTTTTTCTTTTTGTCTCAGTTATAGTCTTCAAGCGATGTCTTCTTTTGAAATCAGAATTTCATCTATAAGTGTTTGTAAATAAAAAAAAAACACATCCTGAAGTCATGAAAATTAATTCTACACTATGATAACTGAGAAGAGAGAGAGAGAGAGAGAGAGAAGCTTCTTGTTTCTAAGATTTTTATACGCGTTTTCAAAAACAGGTTAATAGAGAATCCCCGAAAATTTGACATATGTAAGCGGCAGAAAACGTGGGGGGGGGGCACTGCTTATTTTTATCGCAAAAAACATTCTCGACTAAAAAATTAATGGAAGGAAGGAAGCAAGGAAATGAATTAACCACCCACCACAACAAAAACAGCCGATATTCTTTTATTAGACAATAGAAATAATTAAGGAAACTTGGCGATCTCAACAAAACTTCATGATCACCATCATCATCATTATCATCACTGATCACAATGATGATGATGATGATGATGATGGTGCTGATGAAGACGACGACGACGACATCGAAAGCTTTACATTACCCTACACTAAAAGGATAGGGTCTACAAACCGTAATTCACCTCTGTCTGTCTGTCTGTAACAATGGCACAAAATGACCATCTCCATGGCACGATTGACCATTTTTAACGGAACATATTTTTGGCGGATACATCGATGGGCGCACGGGGGGTAGTCCCGTCTGATGACGAAACACATGTGTAGTGTGCTACTAAAGTTCCCAGAAGGAACTTTTTGTCCCTCCATCGCTAAATTTGTTAACGGCATGATCCAGTCCCTAAGTGAAACACCGACCCCTCTACTACCTGCTCTGAAACATATTTTAGCCTCCTGATGAGATTCGCCAACAGTGGTGTTCTATTAGAGAGTATAGGCTGAGACCTCTCTTGCTCGTTTGATCAGAAGCAAAATCGTGGTTCTGACAGTGCTTCGCACCTGTCTTTCATGCTTATTTCGACTGCGTTTTTTTTTATTCATGGCTCTTGCGAATTTTTCATTTTCTTCTCATCGGCACCCCC